AACATCCTACTAAAAGCCTCCATTATAATAACAAACAGCAATAAAGACAAAGGATCCCTTCTTAAACTAACTCTCCCCTAGATCCTCCATGTTTCTCCCTCTTATCCCTACCAATTCACGACTTTCCTCCTTCCCATCCAACTCTTCTATTTTTGAAAGACATTGACTTTTACTACAGTTAAGATTTCCCACCACCTCCTCGTTTCAAGGCCTTCAATTTCCTTTCCAACACATAACTGGGAAACCCTTATAATCATAGGATGCTCACCAAGTCCATACTTGCTACCCAAAACCTTCCACTTTTAACATCTTCTCAAACCTAAAAAGTCTTCTTCCACTACATCACATTCCCAGATAACGAAATAAGGAAATGATCTAAATAACCCCTTCCCAATCTCCTCTAAGTGACCTCTAGGTACTTAGCATCTAACTCCTAATTTACCCAGAACCGAACTATTCTAGATAGAATAGGATGGTCCCGATTAGATGACCATGTAAAATCTCCCCGATCATAAGTAGGTCCATCAACATATTCTCCTTGTTAAAATATGAAAAGTCCTCCATAGCCCCTGTTAATCTCCCACTACTAGACCTCTCAGTAGAAAATCGAACCACATTAAAATCATCCCCAATATACGTTGGTAACTTCCATTACGCCATTATACCAACCAAATCATCCCACATCCACCTCTACTATCATCATCATTAGGCCCATAAACTCCTATAAACTTTCGACGGAATCTATCTCCAATATTTCTAAATAAAAGCAACAGAGAAAAAATAGTCTTTTACTAACCTCATCCATATCGGGAACTCTAGTGTCTCACATGACCAACACACCTCCTAAAGCCCCCGAAGACTCCACAAACTGATATGCTGACCCCTCCATGGGCTGCTGACAACAGACTTCGAAACAGCCTTCAACTTTATTTCTTGTAAGCATACAACGTCAGCCCTCCATACTGTCAACAGATTTCAAACACCTAATCCTTTTCAATTTCGTTAAGCCCCCTATGTTCCAACTAATGATTTTTGGAATCATCTTAATGCTTCGTCATCCCTCCCACCTTATCAACCCTCTCATTGAATCGCCACCATTAATGTCATAATTAATCGAGCACTCGAGCCACTTAAGCTCACAATCACCTTTTCTTTGTCTCACCTCCTAGCGTACACATCCTTTATCCCATACCAGCTTTTAGCTCCTCAAATAATTGCAAGAGCCTATTTTCATACACATCGCAAGACACCTGCCATCTTACTCAAGTCTACTAAATCACTGTTTATATCCACCTTCCCCGCGGCATCAACCCACACCACCAAAACCTTATTATTCCCTAAATCCACCCTCTTTTAAGGACTTAGAATATATCCTACAGTTGGTGTTCACTACCAAAGTTGTTGAGCCTGTTACCCCTAGTTGTTTCTCAATTACCAGAGCTAAGCTTTCTGTCAATCCAATTCCAGTCTCTTGTTCCATCGCCGACACTAATCCCTCTACTAGATTCATGTCCAATACACCCACAATCAATGAGCAATTGTCTTTGGTTGTATCCAATATCTCCGACTCCAAATTCAATATACTTGGCTCCCCTTGCTTAGCCCGAGGTTCCACCTCTACAACTTTAGTTCGCACCTAAGGTTCACCACATGCCTCAACTAGCACCTAAGTACTATGGGTCCCATCCAAACACACCCCACGGGTGACTGTAGGTCTTCTTGGGGCTCACTACAGACCCACAATCCAATAACCTACTTAATTCATCCAATTCCCCTTTCCATGCTTTGATGTGAGCCCTTATTCCAGTACTATTCCAAAAGCTATTAGATATACATTTCGTAGTCATTTCCTTAGACTTGTGCACCTTTAATTGTCCTTCCTGATTAGATCCCGAGATGTGCTCACGTTGATCACTCCTCTCATTAGCCGTCCTTATGCTTCGCTACCCGCTGATCAGCGTTTTGCGGGACTTGTAGATTCGCCCTAGCTCCGCATAAGTCATCCCTTGTCGGCTCTATTATTCATTTGTTTGATGTTTAACCTTATCTCCGGTAACAAATGAATCGATAACTACTTGAAGTATATGCAAAACCGATGCCCATCCCTCTCCATTCACACCTTCTGGCACCATTACCACTTCCTTTCGGCACCATTACCACTTCCTTCCGACCCCTTTCCCTATACTGTGCTATCATTAGAAACCTACCTTGACTGTTACCACAACATTGTGCCCAAAAGGCTCTAGAAGGCTCATTAAACTTAGTAATGATATCCTGCAACTTGCCAAACATTCTTAACTTCTCCACCATATTCACCACCCATCAGCTCCATATCTCCCCATATAAATTGTGTATAATATCTTCGATCCCCATTCCGACATCTTAACGCCGAAATCGTTAGTGGACACTACGAACTCCTTCCCCTCCACTCTAAGCCCTAGAACTAAAGACCATCAAATTAGTGACATATGACTGTTTCATCGGATACGGTGCAAACGAAGCAACTAATGATAAAACAAGCGTCTAGGATGGTCTAGGCGTTATGAAATGGTTCTGCTCGTTCTTCGATGACGAGTGGGCATACGCTCTGGCCCATGTCGGCCAAATCGGCCCACATACTTCGTTGCTGTCGGATCGAGGTCGAAAAAGCCTGCAAGGCCACTCGCACAGGCGCATAGCTCCAGATGGTAGCTAGATCGAATGTGGATGGAAGAAGCCTGTTTGATTTCTCTTACACTGAATCTACAAAACTCACCCTACCGCCATGGATGGGATGGCCAGGAATCTCCATGTTGCCGGTGATCTCCATGTCGTCGAGTCCATGATATCGAGCGACGGTGCTAGAGTTGACCCCTGCCTGCAAATATGAGCATCTCTCTCTTTGAGGCGTGAGGTCGATGTTTTTGGGTAGTTCGATCGAGGCTTTGTGGTGACTCCAATGATGCCCAGACCAAAGGTAATTGGTAGTGGCCAGTTTTTGGATTTTGGGGGAGAAGTTTCCATCGCGTTGATGGAGGCGAGCAGGTGAAGTCTACTCATGGGAAGGATTTAATATATATGTTCATGATATATCTTTTTACGCTAAGGATTTAAGTGATGATCATCGAACTACTTTCATTTTATGTCAAAATTTATAAAACTTGCGACGTTGTTTTGAAAGATTAGTTTATTATTATTATTAATTTTTTTTGTCATTAGTTGTCTTTTTTTGTTTTGATAATCCATGCAATTTGTAATCCAAAACTTATAATTAAGAGCTTATTTGGTACAGTTTAAAAGCCAATTAAAATTAATTTTTTTGACCATTATTTCACTATTTCAACTGTCATTTTTGAATTCTTCTCTCACAGGTAGGGGTGGACGTGGGTTGGGTTGGGTCGGTTTTCACCCCAACCCTAACCCAACCCAACATGATCGGTTTGGTCGAAATTTAAGCCAACCCAACCCAACCCAACCCAACCCAACCCAATCAAGTATCGGTTGGGTTGGGTTGGGTTGGGTTGGTCGGTTTAGGACAACTTATTAATAAAGATTAAAGTTATTCATTTTTGGGTGTAAAGCATCACTAATATAGTCAAAATTTACAAAACTAATTACCACAGCATAGAAAAAATTCAACTAAGACACTAAAGAGCAGAAATCACAACCAATTTAGAAGTTGGTTTCTCACAAAATTATCTAATAGTGGGACGGGATTGGAGCTTATAAGGTAAAAAAATTTCATCAATACAAAATGCTCCAAATCATTAAATAGTGTTAGCAAAGAAGAAATAGCAGAGATGTAGTCAAAGAAGAGATCACCTGAGAGATGAGTCTATTCAGATTAGTATATGTTGGCCTCTCAATGTCAAGTGACTTGCGGCAAATATCATAGATCGCCTCATTGTCAAGAAGCACGGCAACATCAGTGTGCTCCAACAAAGAGTGGGTCGAGAGAACAGAGTTGTATGGCTCAACCACAGTAGTCGAAACTTGCGAGGATGGGTAAATAGTGAACCCCAACTTTGATTTTTTATCATTCAACAGAAAGCCTCTCAAGCAAAAAAGATTCAAGTCCAGATCCAATGCCCCCACCGACAGCATGGAACACCATGAACCCTTACAATCCAGTACAATTATTCGCAAGCTTTCGGAGCTTGAGTGAGAGCGAAAGCGAGGGGGAGGGGGAGGGGGAGGGAATAGAGAAATTTTAGGGCTTCTTTTGGATTTGGGAGTGACTGAGTGATTAGCCATTTACGCATTTATTTATTATTATTATTTTTTTTAAGTTCGAGTTGGGTTGGGCGGGTTGGGTTGGTTTTTATAGGTTAACCCACAACCTGACCCAACCCAACCCACCTACGTAGCCAAAAAATCGAACCCACTTAAAAACAACAAAAAAAACGACCCAACCCGGTCGGGTTGGGTTGGGTCAGGCGGTTTGGACGGGTTGGGTCGGTTTTTGCCCACCCCTACTCACAGGTAGCACCCACTTTATTTGTAACAGTCAAAAAATCAATTATCAAAATCTCTACCAAACAAGGACTAAGAATCAAATGCAAAAATCTTAGTTTAGGAACCAAACTGTGAACTAGCCCCTCGTTGAAGGACCTAAAATTGCAATTCTTTTTTTTTTTTTTTTGGGACGGGGGCCTAATGCTAGCCATGAAGGCATGAATAGTAAAACAGGAATTGTATTTTTTATTTTTATTTTTTTGAGAGAAAAAAGAAATTTATCCCCCCTTGTTTGACAACCGCTAAAACAACTTTTTTTCTCAAATTTATTTTCAACCATGTATCCTTATAATAAAATGCCTGCACGTAATCCCAAAAATTTTCCTACTTTTTACTTACACATTCTCAAAAAATATATATATATATATTACTCCGAAACTCGTTTTCCCAAAAAAAAAGGCAAAAAAAAAAAAAAAAAAAAAAAAAAAAAAAAAAGAAAAAGAAAAAAAAATCTCATTTTAATGGTTGTCAACACAGGGGCTTAATTAAAAGGGTTTTAAGGAAAGATTAGAAATTGATATTGCAAACCAAATATATGGTTTATGTATTATATGCTTTAATACATAAATATATATTAGCGTACAATAACATATTCTACAAAATGAATAACGGAATGCACTAATAAATCATTGATTTTAATTTACTTTTATATATTAAACATATACAAAAGACAAACAGCCAATTTTCATATACATGGTAGCTTTAGCTATGCATTATGTGCATTATACATAAATAGATACCATAATTATATGATCAAGTAATCAAATGTTTTTCAAAAGAATTTTGCACCATTGCAAAAAAATGAAATATTCATAATCAAAAGTTAACTTCATTAATCAATCTCTTCTTAACCTATAAATATAGTCACTACTTTAGCACATCCACCACACTGCATGACACACATCTCTCTTTCCTGTCACGTGCATATACACATGCAAATACACCACTAAAGTACTTTTGATTTAACAAACCAAGGGCAAAAGTTGAGTTGTTTCAAGGATTTTTCACACATCATCTTAATTCCAAGCAAATAAGTATGTTTAAGTAATTTTTATATGGTATTACTATTATTATGAGGTTACTATTATTAGGATAAAACTTATGGGTCCTATATGAATATGTTCAGGATAAGAATATTAAAGTTTAGTAACACAATGCACAAAAAATCTCTACCACCTAAGTTCAGTTTTTTCTTGTGCCTTCTTTATGTATAATATGATGTAATCAATTTATGAAATTTTAACATGATTTGTAAATTTGTGGTGTATGCTTAGAGTATATCTCACCCCTTGAAGCCCCTTACAGGAAACTATGTGTTTGAGACAGACGAGAGGAGTCGGCTAATGAGCAAGATTTATTAACTATGTTCAAGGAATAATTTTGGAGTAAATTTTTTTATGTAATGGATTTAAGTCATTATCAAAATTTATTATTATTTTTAATCATTAGTCTTTCTATTGCATCGATGATTACATACAAATTTATGTTATTTTGAAATCTTGAGTAAAATTTTAGTGATACTCGAGAATTTAAAACTTGGAATTCACATTAACCCTTCACAAGCTTAAGCTGCCCAAAGGACCCCATAATACCACCTCTAACCTCACTGATATATATGTCCAACTTTAAATATATATAATTATAATTTTTCATGAATCCATGTTCCAAAAGTTGCCACCAAGTAGCCCATAAATCCCAAAATTTCCACTTGGACCACCGTTATTAGCTCTAGCATATGAGCCACACTATCTCTTAGACTAAGTATTCCCCTCCATATCTTTATTTCGATGTTAAACCATTGTTCTAAAAAACTTTTGAGGCTTACGCCTCAACTTAGACTTTAAAGCTATGCATTGCCTTTTGGGCATTTTATCACTGACCTCAAGTTTTTTTTAGATATTTTCTTTCTAGCTACAACAATTCATGGGTTCTTTTATTTTGTCTTTTATGCCTTTGAATTGATAAAGAAGGGAAAGGGAAGGAAGTGCAACATTGCAAGTGGAGCATGATAAGGACGAATAAGAAAAATCTCAATAGTAATGGAGGATGATCAAATAATCAAATAAATTATTCTCTTAAGGATTGTAGTGATGGCATAGGAGACTTCTAGACTCTCTACTTGTAGTAGAACACAATTTTGTTATTACTAATTTGAGAATCTATTCTTGCTACTATATTGATATTCTTCGTGTTTGTTTGCAAGTCATACCATTAATGTTGTTAATTTATTTGAGTATGAACTTTTTAGATGATTCATGGTTTATTTAACCATGTTTTAGTGCTTCTATATTCTTTTGAGTATTTTATTGGTTTGTCTCAAGCTTACACCTTGTCTCACTGCGATAAAATGCCTCAATACACAATTAAGCCTTTTCGAACATTACGTAAATAAATATGTTGATTCTATGGTTTGAAACACAATTATTTAAATATTTTGATTCTATAGTTTGAAACTCAATATCTTACTCTTTATCCATATTCTATAAACAAGTAAGATCTAGAAGTTTACAGTTAGCAAATATGCATACAGCTTCCTAACCAAAAAAATATTCATCCAGAAATTCATGAAATTTAAGTGCTTCATATTTAGGACCACTTAAGAGCATTCATATCTACATTTTCCTTAATTGTAACACCACAAAAAACTAAAACGAGTAAGAAATAACAGAATATACAATCTCTAGACTCTAGGAAGTTAACATGATAATTCCTTGTAGTGTAGAAAGAGAAAGGAAGTCTGAAGTATCTAACCATGGATAAATATGATGCTGCTTGATTTTCCTTGCCTCCATGATTTTCTTGATTGCTTCCATTTGCAAAATTGGTTCCCTGCGTGGCTCCAGGACTTTTACTCTTAGCAGCAGCAACCTGCTTTGCAGCCTCTTGTAGAGCATGCATTGCAACATTATATACATGTATGGATTTTGCACCTTCTTCTACAAATTTTACAGCCTCTTGGCGTAGATTATTATAACGAACATTTACAGACTCCCTATAATTACAAGGCAGCTGGGAAGCATGTTCACTCATACCATCTCCACCACCACTTTTTGCATTTCTTGTCCAACGTTTCAATACATACTCAGTAGGGAGTGTAAGAACGTTTTTTGCTCTAAATACTGATAGTACATGTCTGCAAATGATACCCGAAAATTCAAACATCCGACAGCTACAGTTAGCTTTCATCTCAAATGCGTTGAACTGTTTATTTATTTATTTATTTTTTTCTCAATAGGAAATCAAATATTTTATTAATCAGAAAATAATAAATACGAAGTGTATTATCAATTTAAACACGAAATGAATAACATGAAATTGCGTAGCTCATCTATAAAACTTGTAGCCGCAATATTAAACCAAGTATACAACGTTAAATACAATAATTCTCTAATCTGTTTTATTGTTCATGTTTAATCATCAAAACAACAGATGGTTCTTTATCTACGATGCAAGTCGAAACAAGGTTCAAACAATCTTACTATTCTTATCGCGAAACTTTCTCCTCCATGCCTTTAACGCATATTCCATACGCCTTGACAACACCCAATCCATGTGTTGAGAAGCCAAAATATTGTTCCACAACAACCGAGCAGCATCACAATGAAGGGAATAACGGTCAATCGTTTCTCCATCCCTCTTGCACGTATACCATTCAGTAATATAAAGCCCCCTTCTTCGAAATTATCCACCTTTAACACCTGTTCTCTGATAACCGTCCATAATAAAAATGCCATCTGTGGAGGCAGTTTACATTGCCATAACATCTTCCAAGGGAATTAACTCCCCACCCATCATAATAAGGATCTAAAATAAGTGTCAACCGAAAAAATACCATCTCGTGCCAACCTCAACCTGCTACAATCACCCTATGCATCTCATATGAAGATGTCAAAAACAGCGCATAATCATCCAATTCCTAGTCTTGCAAACTCGTCCCAAAGATATTGTTCCAGCTAAGGCTCTCATTATGTATATCTAAGACGTTATTCACCATAGCCATACGACACCAAAGCAATACGATACAAAGAAGGAAATCACACCTTTAGCGATTGATCTCTACACCAACAATCATCCCAAAAACTGATAGTATTGCCATTCCCCACCACAGAAGTTAATCTATCGCCAAAATCACTCCACCCTCGCTTGATATACCACCACAAACTCACTCCATAAAAACCACGACCCTCGATTGAACACCATCTCCCTCCAAAAACTCTCCTTGTCCACTCTAATTGCTCAATCACTTACCTAACAAAGCCTTAGTAAACAATACAAGGCTTCTCAATTCGAGCCCTCGGCTTTCCTAGGGAACAAACTATCCCCCAATTAACCAAATGAAATTTCCTCTCTTCCTTTAATCCTTCCTAAAGAAACCCCTTTCGAATCCTCTCTGATCTTTTTGCCACTACAATAGGAATCAAAAATAATAACAAGAAATAAGTAGGTAGATTCAAGTAGTAGACTCAATGAGAGTAAGACGGCCCCCCTTTCATAGGTACATACGCTTCCAACTCGCAATCCTCTTCCCCACACAATACTATTCCAAATATGTATACTTTTAAACCGTACTCCTAAAGGGAGCCCAAGATATGACATAGGCAGCTACACAACCCTACAACCTAATATAGCAGCCAAATCCTCCACGTTATCGACTTCTCCCACTGCAATAGCCTCATATTTTCCTAGATTTATCTTCAATCAAGATACAGCCTCAAAGCACAGAAGTAAAAGGCGCATGTTCCTGAATTACTCATCATCTGTATCACAGAAGATCAAGGTATCATTCGCAAATAACAAATGGGATACCTGCAATTGATCAATCATAAAGCCCATTAGCAAACTTTCTCCCACAGCTTTCTCAAACATCCTACTAAAAGCCTCCATTATAATAACAAACAGCAATAAAGACAAAGGATCCCTTCTTAAACTAACTCTCCCCTAGATTCTCCATGTTTCTCCCTCTTATCCCTACCAATTCACGACTTTCCTCCTTCCCATCCAACTCTTCTATTTTTGAAAGACATTGACTTTTACAACAGTTAAGATTTCCCACCACCTCCTCGTTTCAAGGCCTTCAATTTCCTTTCCAACACATAACTGGGAAACCCTTATAATCATAGGATGCTCACCAAGTCCATACTTGCTACCCAAAACCTTCCACTTTTAACATCTTCTCAAACCTAAAAAGTCTTCTTCCACTACATCACATTCCCAGATAACGAAATAAGGAAATGATCTAAATAACCCCTTCCCAATCTCCTCTAAGTGACCTCTAGGTACTTAGCATCTAACTCCTAATTTACCCAGAACCGAACTATTCTAGATAGAATAGGATGGTCCCGATTAGATGACCATGTAAAATCTCCCCGATCATAAGTAGGTCCATCAACATATTCTCCTTGTTAAAATATGAAAAGTCCTCCATAGCCCCTGTTAATCTCCCACTACTAGACCTCTCAGTAGAAAATCGAACCACATTAAAATCATCCCCAATATACGTTGGTAACTTCCATTACGCCATTATACCAACCAAATCATCCCACATCCACCTCTACTATCATCATCATTAGGCCCATAAACTCCTATAAACTTCCGACGGAATCTATCTCCAATATTTCTAAATAAAAGCAACAGAGAAAAAATAGTCCTTTACTAACCTCATCCATATCGGGAACTCTAGTGTCTCACATGACCAACACACCTCCTAAAGCCCCCGAAGACTCCACAAACTGATATGCTGACCCCTCCATGGGCTGCTGACAACAGACTTCGAAACAGCCTTCAACTTTATTTCTTGTAAGCATACAATGTCAGCCCTCCATACTGTCAACAGATTTCAAACACCTAATCCTTTTCAATTTCGTTAAGCCCCCTATGTTCCAACTAATGATTTTTGGAATCATCTTAATGCTTCGTCATCCCTCCCACCTTATCAACCCTTTCATTGAATCGCCACCATTAATGTCATAATTAATCGAGCACTCGAGCCACTTAAGCTCACAATCACCTTTTCTTTGTCTCACCTCCTAGCGTACACATCCTTTATCCCATACCAGCTTTTAGCTCCTCAAATAATTGCAAGAGCCTATTTTCATACACATCGCAAGACACCTGCCATCTTACTCAAGTCTACTAAATCACTGTTTATATCCACCTTCCCCGCGGCATCAACCCACACCACCAAAACCTTATTATTCCCTAAATCCACCCTCTTTTAAGGACTTAGAATATATCCTACAGTTGGTGTTCACTATCAAAGTTGTTGAGCCTGTTACCCCTAGTTGTTTCTCAATTACCAGAGCTAAGCTTTCTGTCAATCCAATTCCAGTCTCTTGTTCCATCGCCGACACTAATCCCTCTACTAGATTCATGTCCAATACACCCACAATCAATGAGCAATTGTCTTTGGTTGTATCCAATATCTCCGACTCCAAATTCAATATACTTGGCTCCCCTTGCTTAGCCCGAGGTTCCACCTCTACAACTTTAGTTCGCACCTAAGGTTCACCACATGCCTCAACTAGCACCTAAGTACTATGGGTCCCATCCAAACACACCCCACGGGTGACTGTAGGTCTTCTTGGGGCTCACTACAGACCCACAATCCAATAACCTACTTAATTCATCCAATTCCCCTTTCCATGCTTTGATGTGAGCCCTTATTCCAGTACTATTCCAAAAGCTATTAGATATACATTTCGTAGTCATTTCCTTAGACTTGTGCACCTTTAATTGTCCTTCCTGATTAGATCCCGAGATGTGCTCACGTTGATCACTCCTCTCATTAGCCGTCCTTATGCTTCGCTACCCGCTGATCAGCGTTTTGCGGGACTTGTAGATTCACCCTAGCTCCGCATAAGTTATCCCTTGTCGGCTCTATTATTCATTTGTTTGATGTTTAACCTTATCTCCGGTAACAAATGAATCGATAACTACTTGAAGTACATGCAAAACCGATGCCCATCCCTCTCCATTCACACCTTCTGGCACCATTACCACTTCCTTTCGGCACCATTACCACTTCCTTCCGACCCCTTTCCCTATACTGTGCTATCATTAGAAACCTACCTTGACTGTTACCATAACATTGTGCCCAAAAGGCTCTAGAAGGCTCATTAAACTTAGTAATGATATCCTGCAACTTGCCAAACATTCTTAACTTCTCCACCATATTCACCACCCATCAGCTCCATATCTCCCCATATAAATTGTGTATAATATCTTCGATCCCCATTCCGACATCTTAACGCCGAAATCGTTAGTGGACACTACGAACTCCTTCCCCTCCACTCTAAGCCCTAGAACTAAAGACCATCAAATTAGTGACATATGACTGTTTCATCGGATATGGTGCAAACGAAGCAACTAATGATAAAACAAGCGTCTAGGATGGTCTAGGCGTTATGAAATGGTTCTGCTCGTTCTTTGATGACGAGTGGGCATACGCTCTGGCCCATGTCGGCCAAATCGGCCCACATACTTCGTTGCTGTCGGATCGAGGTCGAAAAAGCCTGCAAGGCCACTCGCACAGGCGCATAGCTCCAGATGGTAGCTAGATCGAATGTGGATGGAAGAAGCCTGTTTGATTTCTCTTACACTGAATCTACAAAACTCACCCTACCGCCATGGATGGGATGGCCAGGAATCTCCATGTTGTCGGTGATCTCCATGTCGTCGAGTCCATGATATCGAGTGACGGTGCTAGAGTTGACCCCTGCCTGCAAATATGAGCATCTCTCTCTTTGAGGCGTGAGGTCGATGTTTTTGGGTAGTTCGATCGAGGCTTTGTGGTGACTCCAATGATGCCCAGACCAAAGGTAATTGGTAGTGGCCAGTTTTGGATTTTGGGGGAGAAGTTTCCATCGCGTTGATGGAGGCGAGCAGGTGAAGTCTACTCATGGGAAGGATTTAATATATATGTTCATGATATATCTTTTTACGCTAAGGATTTAAGTGATGATCATCGAACTACTTTCATTTTATGTCAAAATTTATAAAACTTGCGACGTTGTTTTGAAAGATTAGTTTATTATTATTATTAATTTTTTTTGTCATTAGTTGTCTTTTTTTGCTTTGATAATCCATGCAATTTGTAATCCAAAACTTATAATTAAGAGCTTATTTGGTACAGTTTAAAAGCCAATTAAAATTAATTTTTTTGACCGTTATTTCACTATTTCAACTGTCATTTTTGAATTCTTCTCTCACAGGTAGGGGTGGACGTGGGTTGGGTTGGGTCGATTTTCACCCCAACCCTAACCCAACCCAACATGATCGGTTTGGTTGAAATTTAAGCCAACCCAACCCGTGTAAAGTTTGAAACCCAACCCAATCAAGTATCGGTTGGGTTGGGTTGGGTTGGGTTGGTCGGTTTAGGACAACTTATTAATAAAGATTAAAGTTATTCATTTTTGGGTGTAAAGCATCACTAATATAGTCAAAATTTACAAAACTAATTACCACAGCATAGAAAAAATTCAACTAAGACACTAAAGAGCAGAAATCACAACCAATTTAGAAGTTGGTTTCTCACAAAATTATCTAATAGTGGGACGGGATTGGAGCTTATAAGGTAAAAAAATTTCATCAATACAAAATGCTCCAAATCATTAAATAGTGTTAGCAAAGAAGAAATAGCAGAGATGTAGTCAAAGAAGAGATCACCTGAGAGATGAGTCTATTCAGATTAGTATATGTTGGCCTCTCAATGTCAAGTGACTTGCGGCAAATATCATAGATCGCCTCATTGTCAAGAAGCACGGCAACATCAGTGTGCTCCAACAAAGAGTGGGTCGAGAGAACAGAGTTGTATGGCTCAACCACAGTAGTCGAAACTTGCGAGGATGGGTAAATAGTGAACCCCAACTTTGATTTTTTATCATTCAACAGAAAGCCTCTCAAGCAAAAAAGATTCAAGTCCAGATCCAATGCCCCCACCGACAGCATGGAACACCATGAACCCTTACAATCCAGTACAATTATTCGCAAGCTTTCGGAGCTTGAGTGAGAGCGAAAGCGAGGGGGAGGGGGAGGGGGAGGGAATAGAGAAATTTTAGGGCTTCTTTTGGATTTGGGAGTGACTGAGTGATTAGCCATTTACGCATTTATTTATTATTATTATTTTTTTTAAGTTCGAGTTGGGTTGGGCGGGTTGGGTTGGGTTGGTTTTTATAGGTTAACCCACAACCTGACCCAACCCAACCCACCTACGTAGCCAAAAAATCGAACCCACTTAAAAACAACAAAAAAATCGACCCAACCCGGTCGGGTTGGGTTGGGTCAGGCGGTTTGGACGGGTTGGGTCGGTTTTTGCCCACCCCTACTCACAGGTAGCACCCACTTTATTTGTAACAGTCAAAAAATCAATTATCAAAATCCCTACCAAACAAGGACTAAGAATCAAATGCAAAAATCTTAGTTTAGGAACCAAACTGTGAACTAGCCCCTCGTTGAAGGACCTAAAATTGCAATTCTTTTTTTTTTTTTTTTGGGACGGGGGCCTAATGCTAGCCATGAAGGCATGAATAGTAAAACAGGAATTGTATTTTTTATTTTTATTTTTTTGAGAGAAAAAAGAAATTTATCCCCCCTTATTTGACAACCGCTAAAACAACTTTTTTTCTCAAATTTATTTTCAACCATGTATCCTTATAATAAAATGCCTGCACGTAATCCCAAAAATTTTCCTACTTTTTATTTACACATTCTCAAAAAAAAA